TAAGTTTTGGTGTTTTTTGTTTGTTTCTTTGTTTGAAGGGCAGATTTATAGAGAGAAGGAACAGAAAGAAAAATCTTCCATCCACTGGTTTACTCCCCAAATGGCTGCTACAGCCATAGCTGAGCCAATCCAAAACCAGGAGCCAAGACCTTCTTCCAGGTCTCCCATGCAAGTGCAGGGTCCCAAGACTTTGGGGCATCTTCTGTTGCTTTCCCAGGCCACAAGCAGGGAGCTGAATGGGAAATGGAGTAGCCAGGACATGAATCAGCACCCATATGGGATGTGGTGCTTGGAGGTAGAGGATTGGCCAATTGAGCTATCCTGTCAGGCCTAGGATTCTTGTTCTTTATATTTCTTTGAGATTTTCTCATTTGTTGTTTCTCTCCCCTAAATGCCCACAACAGCCAGGAATGGACCAGGTCAAACCAAGAGCTGGAAACTCTGTCCAAGTCTCCCCAACGTGGGTGGCAGGGAACTAAGTGATTGAGCCATCCCTCACTGCCTGCCAGGGTCTGGGTAGACAGGACCCCAAATCAGAAATGGAGTAGCCAAGGCTTGAAGCAGACACCACAGTGTCGGGGGCAGGAACCCAAAACAGCAACTTCAGCCCTGTCCTGGGCATGAGCTCACACCCACCACACTTACATGAGTGCCCACACTGTGTAGGGCTGTGGGCTCTTCCAGTTTGAAGATGATATGTACCACATTTCTAGCCACTCCTTGCTTTGACAGCTCCTCGTGACGCCTTTGGCGGCTGCAATCCTTATACTCTAGCAGCTGTTCATCGCCCATAGCATGTTGGGGACGCATGCCACTGCTCACACCCCTCCCTCGTCCCCTGAAAAGGGACCTGCCTCCAGTTTTGTTGCAGGCAAGGTCTAGATAACTACCACGTCCCCTGTGAGTGTGGGAAGCAGAAACAGTGGCCACAAAGGGAAGCCCGTTGGCACTGGGGCTCATGCCCAGACAGTGCTGAGAGCCAGGGCCAAGCACTGACAAGGCGAGGCCCCCTCTGACCAGTTCTCTGGGCCTGGCCCAGTAGACGAGTGAAAACAATGAATGGAACGAATGAATGGGCCTTCATTCATTCCTTCCATCACCAGCACTTTCCTCCCTAAGTCATTCCTTCTGGAGGTATCATCTATATCCGGGAAAACTTAATGCCTCTTGCACAGAACCGTTCTGTGGGTGTTCCCTGTGCACCCTCAGCAGCCCCCACCCCAGCCCAGCCCCAGCCAGAGCACCATCTAATGCATCCGACTGGAAGCAGTCTTCCCAGGCTGGCCCCAGGGCCTCGGTCACATGCCAGGCACCGTGGAGGAAGTCATAAATCTTGAGGAGCTTGGCAGTGAATGTGTGGGTTGGCCATGGTTTGAACGAGGTTCCACTCTCGGTCTGCCCATGGGTGATGCTCACCACATGGGCACTTGTTTGATCCGGGAAGGTGAGCCTGGTGGGAGGAGTTTGGGCCACCAGGGGGCATGTCCCCCAGAGGTCATACTCTCCAGTCCGTGACCAGCTGTGGAGCATCCCAGCTCAGCTGTGCTCTGCCATGGCCATGGCTACCCGATATTAAAACTGACAGGGCTGGCCACAGCCTGAACTTGAACCTCCAAAGCTATGAGCCACTTGTTGCTTCTGCCAGGCATCTTGTGTATCAATCCTGGGCTCCTGCTGAGCTGTGTCCCTTTCGTGTTCTGTTGAACTGCTGAGTGAAGGGCCTTCCTTGGCCCCCTGAGAGGAGCTGTCTGTGACCCTTGGTATAGGGGGAGCTAGTTCTGCCATGGGAACCGCAGTACCCCCAGAGATGGCCCTGCATGCAGTCACCTCCCATTGCCCACACAGTGTTCCGGATATATCAGCTCAGGGTCTCCAGATGGGTCCAGTCGCCATCACGTCTCTTTGTGCACCTGCCCACCAGATGAGGGTGCACAGTTCAGCTCTCTGCAACCTCTGTGGATAAATTGTCTCCCAGGAGGGGTGTGCAATTTCTAGCATTTCTCTGCATCTGAGCTGGAACTAAGCATGGGGAAGCAAATGGGAGTCAACCCTGGAACCTTGTTGCCCAGTGTGTCTTCCTCATGGCCCAGGCCTGCTCCCTCTCTGCAGTGTGGGCTGGCCCTTAGAAGTGCCGCTCTCCTTGGCTTAATTCTCTCAATCTCAAGGCTTTTTTTTTCTTTTTTAAGATTTATTTATTTGTATTGGGAAGGCAGATATACAGAAAGATCTTCCATCAGCTGGCTCACTCCCCAAATGGCTGCAACAGCCAGAGCTGAGCTGATCCAGAGCCAGGAGCTTCTTCCAGGTCTCCCACATAGGTGCGAGGGCCCAAGGTTTTAGTCAACCTTCCACTGCTTTCTCAGGCCATAAGTTGGGAGCTGGACAGGAAGTAGAGCAGCTGGGCACAACTGGTGTCCATATGGAATCCCAACACTTGCAAGGTGAGGATTAGCCAAATGAGCCATCACGCCTCTCTAGGCTTTGTGGCCAAAACACAAGCAAGCAGCTGCTGAGATCTGCCCATGCCAGCCCCTGGGATTAAGCAGGAAGCATGGCAGCCACCGGCACCACAGGGCACCAGACTGAGCCAGGCAGCCATGATTTTGACCTTGTTCTGGGTGATGAGACACAAACCTGAGAACTGTGTTTATCACACAGGGAATTCATACCATCCCTGACCGTGTACAGTGAGCAAAATGAATGATCTGCTGCCAGGCTGGGCCTCGCTTGAGTAGATCAGGGGCATGCCACACCAACACTATAGTGCCTGCGCCACCTCCAATACACAAATAGTTTTCACTGGCTTTTAGAGCTAGTTGTCAGGTGACTCCAGGGCTGAATGGGGAAGAAATCTAATTTGTAGCATTCATAGTACCTGGAAGATTCTAAAGGAGCATTTATACCTTGTCCATCTGGCAGTTCCCCATCTCTCAGGACCCACTCTGTTTTTTGTTTTTTGGTTTTTTAAAGCTTTATTTATTTTTATTGGAAAGTCAGATCTACAGAAAGGAGGAGAGACAGGGAGGAAGATCTTCCGTCCGCTGATTCACTCCCCAATTGACTATAACAGCCAAAGCTGAGCCAATCTGAAGCCAGAAGCCAGGAGCCTCTTCCGGGTCCCCCACATGCATGCAGGATCCCAAGGCTTTAGGCCGTCCTTGAATGCTTTCCCAGGCTGCAAGCAGGGAGCTGGATGGGAAGCGGAACTGCCGGGATTAGAACTGGCGCCCATATGGCATCCCAGCACATTCAAGACGAGGACTTTAGCCGCTACCACACCGGACCTTTTTTTTTTAAAACTGATCTTTGATTTGCCAGGGAAAAGAGGCAAGGGTGTGCCACCTGGTGGGGCTTTGTCTCCATTTGGGAGAGTGAACTGATTTCTCAGCGACATTGCAATTGTCTTATTCAGGATAGGGCTGTGGCAGCAACAGGGGAATCTATAGCGAGCCCTTGCTGTGTCTGGGATACATACTCCACCCTGCAGCCTTTGAAGAGGGTTGCTTGCCTGAGAGAGCGTACTTGGCACAGGATGTTAGGCTACATGATGGATTCAGGTTCCACAGTCCTGGGGCGTAGGTGTTTAAATCAGCACAGGTAGGGGATGTGTTACCGAGGGAACCAGGGATGACCTTGCCCCGGACTCAAGCATGGCAGGGGTGGGGGTGGGAAGACAGATGGCACCAAGACCCTGAGCTGAGCCACAGGCAGGTGTGCGTCCCAGGCAGCCCCTGAGCGCATCTTCCCTGGCGGCAGTTAGGGAACCAGGAAGTGGCCCCAGTCTCTATTCCAAGCACACACACTCCTCCACACACAAAACTAAACCCAAGTCTGTGCTGCCAGGAAGGCACAGCTCAGCACAGTGTGATGCGGGGTGGTTTTTCCCCCGAGGCACCTGCAGGAACACACAACACAACCCTTCCACTGAAAGGACACCACTTGGTCTGCCCAGCCAGATCATGCTGGTTTCAGCTGGTTACAGTGTGGTGTAGAAGGGGCAAGAGCTTTTTTTTTTTTTTTTTTTTTTTTCGCAAAGCCAGTGGCAGCAGCAAGCCCTGGGCTTGGCCTGGAGCTCCCAAGTGGAAGAGTGGAGCAGAGCCCCACCTTCTGTGGGTCCCCTCCACCCACGAGAGTTAGGGTTAGGCTGCAGGGAAGGCCCTGGCAACTCAGCAAATATCAGCCTTCAGGGTACACATTCGGCACTCGATTGAGATGCCTGGGCTCATATCCAAGTGTCCAAATGTAAGTCCCAACTCCACTCTGGATTCCTGCTGCTTGTTCAGACGCACCTTGGGGCAGCAGGTAATGGCGCAGGTACACTCTGGTCCCTGTCACTCACAGAAGATACCTGGGTAGAGTTCTAGGCCCCAAGCTTTGGCCTGGCCCTGCTCTGACGGATGTAAGCATTTATCTGTAGAGTGGACAGTAGATAGGCAAATTCTCTCTGTTTTTCTGTCTCTCATATAAACAAAACTTAAAAATAGAAACTCTTAAATCTGAGACCTGGGTCTTGGGGCCAGCCAGCCACGGCATGAGATGCCAGGATCTCCTTGGCTGTGGTAACCACGCATCGTAGGCAGCCCTCCTGCACACCGATATATCCGCTCCTCTTGATATGGAAAACAAGGGCAAGGCAGGCCACATCAGTACTTGCGAATTGATGGAGTTGCAGGTTTTTTTTTATTAAAGTAAATCATGACAATGATAATGCATGATGAGTATGACAGGTATTTTTTTTTGCATAATGCCCTCATATTAAGCCTTCAGAATCTGTTTATTAAAACCCTTAATTTTTTTGTCCTGTTGGTATTATTTTTTTGTCTGTAATGTAACACAGCAATTCCAAGGTTGCTCCCTAGAAGGGAGCCCCCACAACAGTGTGTTAGGACCCCCTCACCCCGCCATCAGGCACCACGTCTTGCACTGTGTCTGGTGGGCACAGCCCAGAGAAGGATGGGGCCCTGCCTTCAGCCGTGCTTCTCCCTCTGTTCTGCCTACAGAAAGCACTCCAAAGACCTCTGCCAGCTGCAGCCCTGCCCCTGAGTCCCCGATGAGCTCCAGCGAGTCCGTCAAGAGCCTAACCGAACTCGTGCAACAGCCCTGCCCCGCCATCGACACAAGCAAGGATGGCAAGCCACCCGAAGCCAGCGACCCCCCGGCCCCAGACTCCCAGCCCAGCACCCCACTGCCTCTCTCTGGACACTCAGCCCTCAGCATTCAGGAACTGGTGGCCATGTCTCCTGAGCTGGACACCTATGGCATCACCAAGAGGGTCAAGGAGGTGCTGACGGACAACAACCTCGGTAGGTCTCACACCTAGGCTGCTTGGGCCTCTCAGGGAGAATGGGAGAAGGGCTTCAGGCCACTGTGAGGACCTGGCATGCCCCGCAGCTGGGCGCACTCAGCCCAGTCCCCCCCTGACCCACTAGGCCGCTCAGGAGGAGCACCTGTGTGCCTGAGCAGGCCTCGCCTCACTGAGCACCAGCTTCTTGGGTTGTGCCTGGTAGAGCTCCAGACTCTCCTAGGCCACAAACCTGGGTGGGTTTGCAGGCCCTGCAGCTTCCTCATGGCTTCCTGGGCACCTGTGAGACCAGGACCAGCTCCAGGTTCCCTGTGACACAGGCAGGCTGCTGAGTCCCTCAGGAAAACCCCAGTAGTGAGGGCCTGTGTGGGGCTGTGAGAGCAGTAGCTCCTAGCACAGCACCTGGCTGTGTGGTCTCTGGTCGCTGCTGCTCCTATTGAACTTCACCTCTGCTCCCTACACCCCTATACGCATACCCATACACACAGTGCACCCAAATACACACCACACAGCCGCAGGCATGCTCACCTGCCCACGTACTTATACATGCCTATACGTTAGCACACAGCCATGCATACATGTACCATGCATACATACATACAGAGATAGATATACACACATGCAACACATGCCCATATACACACCCCACACATCCATACATCAAGGCACACATGCCTCCCCATACTTAGAGATACACACACTGTGATGCCTACACGCCCCTATACACCCATACACACCACACACACACTTGTATATATGCATGCCCAAACACATATAGATTCACATCAGGAACACACCCACATATACACACATACATACACAGATACACACATACCCATACTGTAGACGTATATATCACACGGCACACACATGCATACATATATGTCTCCTCATAGTCAGAGGTACGCACACCTACGCACACACATGCACACCCATGTAGGCACACAAGTATATATCCACTCATGCCCCCCAACACACACACGGCCAGACCCCCATGAGCTGGCCTCCAGAGTGTCTAACCGGCACAAGTGGCAGCCTCCCAGGGCTCTGCCGAGGTGGCTCTTGCAGGGCTGTCACAGGAGCTGTGTCCATGAGGGACTAGGAGGCAAGCTTGTCATCTTCCACCATCAGGCTCCCACAGTGTTGTGTGTCACCCTGGGTGGGCAGGCAAGGGAGGGACAGAGTGGGAGCAAGGACAACCCACACTGGGAGGGCCCAGATGTGCCCTTTGTCTTACTTGGCATTGAGGGGAGCAGCCGAGTTCTAGAAAAGAGCCAGCGTGTGAGACCAGCCCAACTGGTTGAGGCCTTCCTTTCACCCTGCCTGCTCTTCTCACAACACGCGGTACAGAACAGGGCAAGAGAGTGTTTGTCATAAAGTCACTCACAGATAGTCAAATGCTGGCTGTGGATCCTAAAACAAGGGCAAGTCATGTGTGCCCGGCGGCTATTGGAGTGGACATCGATTCTAGAGTTGTTCCCCTCCCCACCATGGGCTTGTTACCAGTTCTGGGGTGTGACGGACAGGCCCAAGGCCCAGCTGGAACAGCCCCTTGTACTCTGGGTGGCCACATCCTTGGCATTGACTGTCCTGGTCCCTGTCGATGAGCCTCAAACAATGGGGAGCCACAGTTAGAAAACCTTTCAAATGAAGTGGAATTCAGGGGCCAGTGTGATGGCACTGCGGGGTAAGATACCACTTGTAACACCAGCATCCCTTATCAGCGCTAGTTGGCATTCTGGTTGCCTTGCTTCCAGTCCAGCTTCTTGCTAGTGTCCAAGTCCCTGCCACCCATCGGGGAGACCAGGATGGAGCTCCTGGCTCCTGGCTTCAGCCTGGCCCAGGCCTGCCTGTTGTGTCCATTTAGGAATGAACCCATGGCTGGGCAGCCTCAATCTCTCCCTCTCTTTCAAAACCCTGCTGTTCAAATAAAATCAGTATTTCCCCTCCCTTTTTTTTAGAACTAAGTAAAATTGACTTTACAACAGCCACAGCAAATAGCTGGGAAAACTTGGGACATTTCTAGGCTAAACTAAGAACTTGAAAAGCAGAGAAATCACGACTTTACAAAATACATACATTTATTGTTAAATGAAAGTGACTGATGCCAAAAAAGGTTAGTTTCTAAGAGCCGAAGCTTTCCACCCATTATACCACCTGGCTGGCCCCCCCATGTTCAGAGCAGTCATTTCCCTTTCCCACCCTACCTCCCCCGGAAGCATGAGTGGGCATCTCATCTTCCTTCAAGCCTGGCACAAGCCACACTACAGACCCAAGACCACTGCGCCTCCACAGTGGAGCGGGCCCCAATCTGATCCACTTGGGGTCAACATGGAAGGAGACATAGGCGGCTCCCATCCCGCTGGCTACTCACCCTGGGCGTAGGTGTGGGCATTGCCATCCAGGCCCTGGTTCCGATGGGAAGCATTGTTGGTTGTACATTGTGAATAAAGCCTGAAGTCCAGGTGAGGAAGTCCTGTTGTTACAGAGGTGAAGGGCTGAGCTGGGCCTGATGTCCCTCACTCAACCTTTATTTGCACTTGGCTTTGCCAACCCCTGCATACCCAGTGACCATCTCTCGCTCTGCTCTGTCTCCTCTCCAGGTCAGCGCTTGTTTGGTGAGACCATCCTGGGGCTCACCCAGGGCTCCGTCTCCGACCTCCTGGCCCGCCCAAAACCCTGGCACAAACTCAGCCTCAAGGGCCGGGAGCCCTTCGTCCGTATGCAGCTGTGGCTCAATGACCCCAACAATGTGGAGAAGCTGATGGACATGAAGAGGATGGAGAAGAAAGGTGAGCCCCGCCCAGCCCCACTCGGCCCCGCCCCAGACAGCTCTGTTTCTGTTCATGGCCCAACCAGTAAACCATTGCTGGAAAGCTCTAGATATGGCAGAGGAGAGCGCGAGTCTGTGGCAAGTTTGTCACTGTCCCTGCAGAGCGCCTGAATCCCAGCATTGCTGGGTCCTGTTAACCCAGGGCAGGGGAACACCCTCTGGGCAGTGCTTGGGCTGCTGTGCACCTGCTGCTCCCATCACTAGGAGATGCATTGGAGAGCAGGTGTTTGGCCCAATTATGATGCCCCAGGTCATATATCAGTATCCCTGGGTTCGGCACCTGACTCTATCTTCCTGCCTAATGCAGACCCTGGGAGGCAGCAGGTGATGGCTGCAAATAATTGGGTCCCTGTCATCCCCACGGGAGACCTGGACTTCGTCCCTGATTCCAAGCTCCAGCCACTGTCAGCATTTGGGGAAGAAACCAACAATTGGAGCACTTGCTCACACTCTCTCTCGCTCTCGCTCTCACTCTCCACCTCTCAACCAAGTACACTTTTTAAGCTATAAAATGAAATGTATTTAGTTGGATAGAGAGCTCAGGAGCCCTGGCAAGCCTGCCAGGCCTGGGAAGAAGCTGAAGGGTACTCACACTGTAGTTTACCCTCTAGCCTGCAAGGTCCTGCCTCTCTTGAGAGATTGCCCCAAATGCCCCCACAAATGCCTCTTTCCTGCACCCCACAGAGGTTCACTGAGTGCAGCCCTCATCAGTGAACCCACCCCCTCCAGGGTCCCCCGCCACGGCCACCTCCCTGACTGTACCCTCACAGGGCCGCCACTGCACCCAAAACCCTTAGGTGCAAAGAAGGGCTGCAACTGGCTGGGCTGGCCTTAAGGAGCTCCACCCATCTTCCTAGTCAGCTACCACAGAGCACTTTAATCAAGGGTGCCATCCATTGCCCACCAGCCAAACATCATAGGCTCTCAACCTCCCAGGGCAAGGCTGAAGCTCCAAGAGGCAGCCAGAGCTGAATGCCTCCAGGAATGCCAAGGGCTGGGCCCTGGGATGTAACCAGACTGTTCGCCAGGCACCATACTGAGACCTCAGCCAGCGATGAGGCCATCACCCCAGGAAAACAAGAAGCCTAGGGGCTCAGGAGGCTGACCTGACTCTGCAGCTGGGGCAGCGGGGGAGCAGGATTGTGGCGCAAAGCTGGCTGTGCCCAAGCCTGCAACGCTGAGCCCCACAGTGCTGCCATTCCTCCTTGGCAATGTGGAAATTGTCACACACGAGCCACAGTCTCTCAGGCAGCACTCCTGAATCTTGTGAAACAGAAACCCAGGAATAGCCCCCAAGCTCCATCTGTGGGCTGTTGTTTGCCAGAGCTTGCACCAGCTCTCTTTTGGCCACACTGCCTGCTCCCAACTGCCCTGGCTGCACTATCCCCTCCTGGGTGGGACAAACAACCACAGTTGGCCAGGCTTCCCTGACCTCCCTCCTCCTCACAGACTCCAGGCGCCCTCTTGTGTTACAAAGGAGTTACTGTTTCAGAGGGAGCGGGGAGCAAGTGCATGAGCAGCTCCAGGTCTCCACTGCACCAAGCATGGCATGTGGGACACGGAGGACCAACCCAGGACAACTCAGGCCTGTTTCAAGCTGGCCTTCACTTCTGCTGTGGTCATTCGCTACAGGGATCATGTCCCCGGCCCCGTCAGCCTCAGGGCCGGCACCTGCCAAAAGAGGGCATCAGACTGGCTGGGCAGGCTGCAGGGACTGGAAAGGCCAGTCTGTAACAGCGAGCCATTGGAACAGTTCATGTTCTACCCAGGCCTAACCCCACTGAGCCCCAGGCCCCTGCCACCCCGCTTCCCCTCCCTGTCCTCTCCTGTCAGCTGCCTTCTCTGCCCTGCTTTTCTGTCGTCTCACGAGCTGACCCTGGATCTGAGCTATTGGCGTGGTCACAAGCATGCAGGCACCTGTGTGCCCACTCACGTTCCAAGCATTGGTGTGCATGGTGCAGGCAGACCTGTAGCCTGGCTGACTCCCATCCCTCTTCCCAAACCACAGCCTGGCTCCAGACCACAGCCCCACGCACTGCCCTGGAGCAACCTCCCCACCTCCCACCCCAACCCCTGCCCAGCCCCTCCCCTTCTCCCTGGCAGGTGTCCCTGCTGCCCAGAGCCAGTGATGCCCTCAGCTTTGCCAGCCACCAGCCTCCCACTCGCCCTGTAGGCCCTGCCTCCCTGCACAGCCACAAGGAGAACCCCACCAGACCTTCCTGCACCCCACACCACAAGTTCTCGGACCTGACTCACATGACCCCCACCACAAACTGCCTGGCCTCCCAGATCCTAAATACAGGCACCCTACCTCCTGACCACACACCTGTCTCCCCACCCTGCCTGACTCAAGGTGGCCCTCAGACCCACAGCCCCTCCCCTGCTCCCCTGTTCCCCTGGAGCATCCACGCCTGATTCTGTGTCCTACAGCTGGGCCCTCCAGCATCTCCACCTCTTTCTCTTCTCTTTCCACTCACCTGCAAACACTATCACCCACCCACTTGTCTTTCAAACCCAACTGTAAATTCTGGGTTGCTTTGGCCAAAGCCTCTTAGACTCAGCTTCCAACAGGGTAGCTAGCACGCATACACTACCCTCACATGCTCACCTGCCCAGGCACAAACCCACATGGCATTCTGGATCCTTGGCACACTGCAGCATTTGAGGCTTCCACCTTCCCTTGACCCCATCTGAGCTTAGTGCCACCCTTCCCCCAGCTCTTCCCCTCCCCCAGCGCTGTCCAGGGCTCCCTCTAGCCCTGCCTCCTTCTAGTTCCACTCCTCAAGTGTATCAAATTCCCACTGCAGCTTTATTCCAATGGGTCCCAAATTTTCTCTGGAGCCCAGACCCAGCTTCTAAGCTCCTTGTTGTAAACCTCTTTCCCCCACTGCCTTCAGTAACAGGTTTAGGCTCACCCTGGCTCCAGGCTGCCCTTCCACTTGTCAGACAACTCCTCCTACCTCTGCCACCACGGCCACTGTTACCAGCATTTGTCTTTGCACATACCATCCCTGTCTTTGCACATGCTTAATGAACCATGCCTGCCCTCTCCCACTCCTGCATCCTCCCCCTACAGCCTCCAGCTAACCCTCCCGTCCTTCAAGAATTTGTTTTTGTTTATTTATCAAAATCAGAGTTACAGAGAGAGGGGCAAGGTCCTCCATCTGCTGGTTCACTCCCCAAATGGTCAGAGCTGGCCAGGAACTTCCTCCAGGTCTCCCATGTGGGTGCAGGGGCTCAGGCACTTGAACCATTCTGTGCTGCTTTACCAGGTGCATTAGCAGGAAGCTGGATCAGAAGGGGAGCAGCCAGGACTCAACCAGTGTCAGTCTACAGATGGGGACCCCACCCTCCATGCCACAGCATCAGCCCCAAGATTTTCGTTAAACATCCTCTCCTCTGAGCCCCCAACTCCTCCCAATCTATGTGTGCCTCCCTGTGGGTTTCCACCATAAATGCCCTTTCTGGATCTTCTGCATCCCCCACAAGTTGGTTAAGGTGCACAGAGTCAGGGGCATCTAAGCAGGGCCCCTGGGTGTTTGTGCCGAGGGCAGCCGTGGCTTTGGGCTGACTGAGCTCTGACTCCCATCCCACCACCTCTTCCCCCTCAGCCTACATGAAGCGGCGGCACAGCTCAGTCAGTGACAGCCAGCCCTGCGAGCCGCCCACCGTGGGCATCGACTACAGCCAAGGAGCCAGCCCACAGCCCCAGCACCAGCTCAAGAAGCCACGGGTGGTGCTGGCCCCGGAGGAGAAGGAAGCTCTTAAGCGGGCCTATCAGCAAAAGCCATACCCGTCACCAAAAACCATCGAGGAGCTCGCCACCCAGCTCAACCTGAAAACCAGCACAGTCATCAACTGGTTCCACAACTACAGGTAGGCCCTGACACCGGCCAGCGGGCCATGGCCCTGAGCTCCGTCCTCGCTCGAGCTGGGCTGAGGATCTGACCCACATTGAGGAGCATGGACATGGTGGTCTAGGGCCATGCCCAGACTCAGGGGGCCTGAGGTATGGTCAGCTGTGTTATTTCACTGGAGTTTCTAACTCTATAAAGATGGAGGCCTAAGTTCCCCCTGGCTCCAAAGCCAAAGAGTGTTGGGACAATTACAGCTGCCTAACAGGGAGTTCTAATTCCTTTGGGATGTTTTGGGTCTTTTCCAGTGCTGCTCTGCAAACTGGTTTTGATCGCTTTTCCTGTGAGACAGATTGAGGACTTCCAGGCCTTTGATACAACAGGGAAAGCCAAGTTCAGCCGCATCCCTGGCTGCAGACGAGTCTTGGGGGGCCAAGTAGGCTGCCAGGGCAGGGCAGGGCCCAGCACTTGGCTCGCACCAAGCAGGCAGGCAGGAATAGTTGAAAATAGATCTTAGAAACCTCCTGCAGGTTCTGAGTGGCACTCTAACCCTGGTCCCAAACAGAAATCACGAGTCCTGCCCCTAGGCCATCATCGCCTGATGCCAGTTCCCACCACAATGTCACTTCCCCTGTCCAGGCTTCCTGCCTATTGAGTATGTGCACGCGCGCCTGCCCGCACAGGCACACACACACACAGATGTAGGCAATACCAGTGGGGTCTTGGCAGCTGGCCAGCAGCAGGCAGTGGAGTGGACACTCGAAGCACAGTCAAGTGCTAGAGAAAGGAGTGGTCTCTGCTAAGTTCTGCCAGCATTCCTGAATGGGCCCAAAGTCCCACCCAGGACCTTAACAAATTGGGCAATCTAAAGATATCAAATGGAAGCCCGAAATCACACTGGTAAAAGGCTGGGTTAAGAGCCGGAAGCTTCATGTGAGAGCTGTGTGGGCCTGCCCCTGAACCCTGGTGCCAGGCACCTGTTCCTGTGTGGCCGGGCAGGCCCAGATGGGCCCCAGTGAGTAGGCTGCTCCCAGGAGGACAGGCCCAGGAGCTGAGCATGGCTATGGCCACTGCCAATGGAAGGGCTCCCAATCACGTGCTCTCCGGTCTCCCACAAATCATGTCTATTGGAGCCCAAGTGTTATTAACTCCCTCACGCTGTCACCCAGAGGCCACCTGAGTCCTGAGTGCTGAGCACTGGGCTACGAGCTGCACTGAACAGAGTCACTGGCCAGGGCCCGCCTACTCTGCTGGCTCAACTGCTAGCCCTCCGAGAGCCATGGTCGTGCCTGTCAGACGGCAGTTAGCGTTCACTGTGGGGAAGCCCCTCTGTGCACTCTGCATGAGCAAAAAGGAGAGAGAGGGAGGCCAGCGCTGTGACATGGCAGCTCCAATGCCAGCACTCCACACAGGTGCCAGTTCCAGTCCATGCTGCTCCACCTCTGATCCAGCTCCCTGCTAATGCATCTGGGAAAGCAGAGGAGGATGTGCAAGTGCTTGGACCCCACACCCACAAGGGAGACCAGGAAGAAGCTTCTAGCTCTTAGCTTTGGTCTGGGCCAGCCCTGGCCAGCCCTGTGAACCAACAAATGGAAGATGTCTATTTTTCTCTCCCTCTCTCTATAACTCTGCCTTTCAAGTGAGTGAAATGGATCTTAAAAGAAGAGAAAGAGGGCCCAGCGGCATGGCCTAACAACTAAAGTCCTCACCTTGAATATGCTGGGATCCCATATGGGTGCTGGTTCTAATCCCAGCAGCTCTGCTTCCCATCCAGCTCCCTGCTTGTGGCCTGGGAAAGCAGTGGAGGACAGCCCAAAGCCTTGGGATCCTGCACCTGCATGGGAGACTTAGCAGGGGTTCCTGGTTCCCAGCTTCGGATTGGCACAGCAACGGCTGTTGCGCTCACTTAGGGAGTGAATCATCAGACGGAAGATCTTCCTCTCTGTCTCTCCTCCTCTCTGTATATCTGACTTTCCAATAAAAATAAATAAATCTTTAAAAAAAAAAAAAAGAAGAAGAAGAAGAGAAAGAGAAGCAGAGCAGAGGAAGAACAGCTCTAAGTCTTTAACACTGAGATCAACAACCCGGGGCCAGATCCGGAGCAGACACTGGAGTTAGGCTCTTCCCAGAATGGGCCCACAGCCCCACAGTGGGGCTGCTCAGCCACAGGTGGCCTGGGCCCTGCAGACCTGCCACACTGTGGGGAAAAAGGGTGACTTGAGCCAGGGCCTGACTTCAGGAGGCCTGACCAGGAGAAGCCTTAGAGAAAACTAAACCAAGGAGTGAGACGTGAGCACCAGGCCACTGGGAGCCAGCTGCAGTCACGTTGTGCTGTTACTTGGGGTGACAGTCGGGTCTGTCTTTGCCATATCCAGAAGTAGAGTTCTTCCACCACCTTAAGGAAACCAAAGCAGCACCAAGCGACCCTGTGCCCCCACAATGGGGCTGGAGAGACCAGCACCATGCAGGACACTGGAAGCCAGGGTGTCCGTGAGCCTTGTAACCCACTCCTGGAGTCCAAGCGGGCTGATGCCTCACAGAGCAGGCACAGCCACTGTCCCACACACAGCACGTATTCTGCCAGCCCCAGGCTCCTCGGCAGTAAGCTCAGGACTCATCTTGGTGTTTGTATGTTTTTTCAGAAATTTTTATTAAACATGTACATTGACACAGAGAGATTTATCAGTCTTCCATCTGTTGGTTCACTCCCCAAGCCTGGCTGGGGGTCAGGCCTGATCAAATCCAGGAGCTCCATCCAGGTCTTCTATGTGGGCAACTGGGACCTAAATGCCAGGGCGACCTTCCACTGCCTTCCCAGGCACATTAGCAAGGAGCTGCGTCAGAAGTGGAGTGGGACTTCATCCCATATGGAATGCTGGAATTGCAAGCAGCAGCTTTTTCTACTATACACTGCCTGTCCCTCTGTTAATTTTAAAATATACATATTTTATTTGAAAAGTAGAATTGGAGGGGAGAGGGCGGGAATAGATCTTGTATCTGTTGGTTCACCTCCCTTAGGCCTGCAACAGCTGGGGCTGGGCCAGGCCAAAGCTAGGAAGTTCTGGGGCTCACCTTCAAGGGTGCAGGGTCTCAAGCACTTGGGCCCTCTCCTACTGCCTTCCCAGGCGCACTAATAGGAAGCTCAGTCAAAAGTGGAGCAGTCGGGACTTGAAACGCATCCATACGGGATTCGACTGCTGCACCTCGGGCAGACCCGCCTCTGCATTTCTTGATTATGCCTTAGATGCCCAGATCCAATCTGTTCACAGCAAAGCAAGCTTACGGTTTTAAAATCCATTCCCCATGAACTTCCTGAAGGCCTCACCCACATGTCCTCCTTCCTGCTTTATCAAGTGGCATCCCTGATGGGAACTGTCCCCTGATGATCCTCACTGGGGATGTCCATACACTGGTCACCAGGCAGTGTCAGTTCAGCCCAGCCCGGCGAGGTCTCGGTGGGCTGATGAAGGACCCGTGCCATTCAGGGCCACCTCGCCTCCAGGCTGGGCTGGGGTTTCACGGGATAGCTGTACCCACTGGCCTCCTCACCTCCGGCCCATTTGTGTCTCGTAGGTCTCGGATCCGCAGAGAACTGTTTATTGAGGAGATCCAGGCCGGGAGCCAGGGCCAGGCGGGCACCAGCGACTCGCCATCGTCGGCCCGGAGCGGCCGCGCCGCACCCAGCTCAGAGGGTGACAGCTGCGACGGCGTGGAGGCCGCCGAGGGCCCGGGCGCCGCCGACGAGGAGCCAGGCGGTCCCGCGGCCGCCGCCAAGTCTCAGGGAGGGCCCGCCGAGGCGGCCGCGGCCCCGGCAGAGCGGGAGGAGGCGCCCCGGCCCGCAGAGAAGACGGAGCCGCCGCCCTCGGGGACCCCGGGCCCGGACGACGCCCAGGACGCGGGCAGGCCCAGGCCGCCACCCGAGGGCCCGGCCGACGGCCCGCGGCCCGTGCCAAACCCCGCCGGCGCCGCCCCGGCCACCGCGGCCCTGGCCGGGGAGGACGCCGCTACCTCAGCCGCCCCGCCCGGGGACGGCCCCGGCGCGGCCCCCGGCGCTGCTTCTTCGGCCGAGAGGAGTTCCGCGTTGCCAAGCACCAGCGCGCCGGCCGGCCGCAGGCCCAGCTCGCTGCAGAGCCTCTTCGGCCTGCCCGGGGCGGCGGGCGCCAGGGACTCGCGAGACAACCCCTTGAGGAAGAAGAAGGCCGCGAACTTGAACAGCATAATCCACCGCCTGGAGAAGGCCGCCAGCCGGGAGGAGCCCATCGAATGGGAGTTCTGAGGGGGTGCCGGCCTCCCGGCCCCCAGCCCCAGCGCCCGGGCAAGGAGGCCGAGACGGGCCGTGCTGAACCGGGCCAAGCCGGGCCGGGCCGAGTCCAGCCGGGTCGGGGAGGGACGGGGCGTCGGGCCAGCTCCGTGGCCCGGACCGTGTTGCGCACTTACCGCCCTGCGGGCCACAGGGCAAAATCGCCATAGGCCAAGGTGCATATAGAAAACAGGAGCATTAAGCCCAATCTATGTCGTGTTTTCAAGGAAGAAAACGGAAATGTGTAGTCGAGCTTTTTTGTACCCTCAAGTGTTTTTTTTATTGCCCTAAAGTGATTTCCACAGGTTCTGGGATAACTCTTACAGCTTTTTGCCTTGCGCCCTCCTCTTGGTGTGGGCTTAAAACAAAACAAACAAACAAACAAAAAAAATCAAACCCACATATGAAAAGGGGGCTTTTTATCTGCCATCTAATGGCTTCAGAGCGATAATACACTATATTATCTTCTTAAACCAGGAAGGGGGGGAGGGAGGGATTTTTTCAGAAAAAAAAAAAAGTTTTTGTAGCTATTCAGTTGCCACTAAGAGATTGCACAGTCAAACCGACTCTAAACACACTAGTTTGGATTCCTAAATATTTTCAAGAAAATGAAATCTTCTCGTTTGAAACTTTGAATTAAGATAAAACACATTTACTCCACGTATTTTTTAACAAAAGAGAGAAAAAGAAAGTTACATCAGGAAACCCTCTTGATTTTGTGGTAGCTGAGGTAGTGTTTTCTCGAACGTTCGTGACTAGAATCCTGACGTGTAGTGCACATTGATCCATAGCTTTAACTGGCCCCTGGCTTTTCCGTCTGGGGTCTGTTTAATACACTCCATTCTAGGCCAAATCAGGACAGGAAAAAAAGAAAAAAGAAAAAAAAAAAAAAGATCCGAATCTAGGTATTTTATAATCTGCTTTTTAACCTCTAACCGCAGAGCACGCTGATCAGACCTCATATTGGGAGATTCAGGAGACAAGTTAGCATGTTCCCGTTCTCATTTCGTTTTAATTTATGGTGTCTGCGTCCATGTTGGTGCATCTGTACGCGAGTGAGCGTACACATGTGCGAGCCGTGAAAGAAGTTGGAGTGAAGGGCAGGAGGCCCCCTGCCACGTGTGGGCAGGTGGATCTGGGGCCCCCAATAGACAGAAGGCACCTCACTTCTCACCACTCCCCCCACCCACGACCCAGGACTTTGGGCAGGGCTGGCTCCAGCACTCTCTCTGTCCCCCGCGTCCCCCCTCCTTCTTCCCACCACAAGCACTGATGGCCCTGTTGACCCCGTGGGAAGCTCCCTTCCCTGCAGGAGAGAGAGAGAGAGCCCTGGAGGCAGCCCGGTCTGCACCACCAACCCCTCACCCCAGGCATGCGCGCACACACACACACACACACACACACACACACACCCATGGGGGCGGTCCTTCAATGCTGTCCACTCCAGACCAGACCATTTGCCCTCCCCTTCATTTCGCCTCTTGAGAAGTTGTTTTATGCACAATTTAGGGCAGCCTAAGTACAAATCCACAAGTCTAACTTGTCTCTGACTCCTCCTGTTGTCGATGTGTATATGCGTGAGAACAGAGGTGGATGAGAGTGTGCGTGCGTGCGTGTGTGTGCAATTTTATACGTCTGTGTATTTTCTTAAGTCCCTGTGCACACATAGAGTGCATTACTGCCACCTTTTTCCAATAAGCTGTTGTATCGGTTATGGCTTCTACAAGTTGGCTAATTTAGACTCCTTTATTGCCATATCTTTAAACTAACAATAGATGATTTCGGTATATATATATATATTTTTTTTTGCTTATTTATAGGTGCTGTATTTTATTATCTGATTGTTAGGAAGGGATGAGAGGGGCAAATATTTAGAGGGATAGACTGCCGGCAGTATTGGGTATAATTTACAAGATGTAGTTGTCATACTGTATATTACTGATTGAAAACTTTTTGACCGTATCGTGTATCATTGAAAAACCTTTGTCTTAGGTCAACATCTTTGGATGACATTTTAATGGTGCATTCATTATTTCTTAAGTTTAATTAATATTACTTTTTTTTTTTGATTGGGGGGGTGGGAAGGGAGTTATTTTACAGGTATGCTCCCACTGTTACGCCTCTGTGTGCTTGTTATGAATTAACTCGTAGGATTTTAACTGTAAGATGTGAAACCACATTTCTTGCATGATGTGTTAGAAATTACGTTATTTCATTTACAGTCTTTTTTTTTTTTAACCTGCAACCGCAGCATTTAGTTGAAAGTTTTTCACAGATTTAAGAGTCACTACACTAAAGACAATGCCTGGTCATGAATACCTAGTCATCAGGAGGCTCTAGGAGGCTGGGAGGCAGACCCCGTGTCCAGCCCAGACGGGCGAGCTGTTTCGGAGCTTGCCATCCAGTTCTGTGAGAAGAAGCATGGGAGGGGAGCAGCGGCTGGGGCAGGGAGTTGACTTACTGGATTCAGGTTCGCTTGAGGACGAGTGGTTCCCGCCCCTAGCACCCCAGAGGGACAGAGCGTTCTCCCCCTCCCCTGCCCCGTGACTCTCTCAGTGTCTAATTCTCATTAGCACAGAAAGCGGGGTGTCGAGCTGGTGGGAACCGTCAGGTGAGGAATGGCGTTTCAAAGGTGTGACTGTAACCTACCAGGATATTTGGGGTGTCGGATCCCGACAGAGAAGTGCAGATTGGGCCCTCCTGGTGACCAAACAGCCTGACATCCGCCACTTTGGCTCTCCCAAGCAATTTAGCCCGATTTTGTTGTTGTCGTCATCTTTTTTTTTTTTATTTTATTTTAATTTTTAACTAAGTTGTTGTTGATTTCCATTCTTTTTTTTTTTTTTAATTTGTGGCCAGACTTCCATCTGGGTGCTCGATACAGTCAGTTGGTTAAATTTTGCTTGCAGTTCTGTGTTTGTATTTTTTCCTATTATTTATTTTATTTTATTATTAAATTTTTTTTTAATTGAGATCCCAACCTCACCATCTCTTGTGCGAAGCTCTCACTCACTGTCTGTCATGTATTTCTGCAAGCTGCCACTAAATCACAGGGACCTGGGGCACGGGCACCTCCCCTCCCCGTTCTGCCCCTGAGCCTGCAATGCGCAGGTGCACCCTTGGTCTCGAGAAGCAATATTCAAGTGCCTTGAATAGCACCCTCTCCGTGTGGGGTCCATCTTCCCCAGGCAGCCCCCTCTCTCCCCTACCTGCTTCCACCTCTCCCCTGCTCTGTCGGTCACTTCACAAACGGGTCTGGCTCTCTTCCCACCCCTGCCCCAACCTTGCCGCCCTCTTAGAACACTAACTGATAACTTGGTTACAAACTCCGTTGTGCCACATTCAGTGGGCCTCTCTCTGCTGGTCCTACGAGGTAGCGTTCCAAATAGCAGGGCCCATGCTGAGGCTTAACCAGCTCAGCAGAGACCCCAGTGTCACACGTGGTTGGCCCCAATCTTTAGTTCCTGCTCAGCAGGTTGGCTTGTGGCATTGTGGGTAGCAGATATGCGGGTTCTAACTTAGCAGGGAGCTCACTGGCTTCCACTCCAGGAGATTTCTGGGTCCCTGTGAGTGCCGGGGACACTTCTCTGTACAGACTATTAGCACAGCCCTTGAGCCAACGGGACATGATGGGCCCCTGGGGTCCAAGCCTGGGGCTGCTGTCAGACCACTCCCCTCCTTGAACACTGGCAGAGGGTCCCTGGTCACGTCTCCTCAGGACAGGTCCTGAGCCCTCCAAAGCACAAATTCCTCGCTGACCAGTTTCTTTCCTGTCACCATCTTTGTTTCCTCCTTGCCTGGGGTAAACCTTTCTGTCCACCCCTGCTGTTCAGGACTGCTGGCCACAAGGCCGGACCCAGGGGCCAGCTCTCCCTCCCGGGCCTGGGCCAGGGCCAAGGTCCATGCCACAGCTCCCCCAACAGAAGGCAAGGTGTGCTGGAACAAGGAGGGTCATGCCCTGGGAGCTGGGGGTACTGAGCCTCTTTGTTCCTGCTGTGTCTGTGTCCTGCCTGCTGTGCAGGGGCTGTCTGGGGACTGTGTGTCCCTTCTATGCAACATCGGTCAGCCCTTAAAATTGGCAGAGGTTGGGTAGACCCGATGGCCGATCAACCCTGACTGAGCCTTGGCCTGTAGGAGCCAGAGGTTGTGTTCATTCATTCCCAGGCAGGCCTAGCAGCTATGCAGGGCCAGCGTGCAGGTTGTTGGCTGTAGTACTGCAGGTGGCAGGCAGAGTGGGGGAGGCTCCTGCAGAAGGCCAACAGCATCCCTCCCAGCATGTCCTCAAACCCCTCACCCCTTCTACCTCACTAACCTGGGCTATCCACGGCATGTCACCTCCTCGGGGCTGTGGGACGCATGGGCTGGTTGGGGGGGCGGTTCGGGGAGGCACCTGGAGCTTGCCCTTGTTCCTGGGGTTCTAGAAACTGTCTGCCCAGAAGGAGGGCATGATCTCAGGCCAGGGAGGTCCTAGCCAGTAGGCTGTTGGTCCCTGCCTGTCCCTGTTCAGTTGTTGCCATCTACTGCAATGTCGTGTCCTGGCCTTGAGCTGCCCCTCACCCCACCCCCAGGAGCCATGTGAGAGCCACCTCAACTACCCAGAACCTCGAAGCCATCCACATCTCCAGCACTGAAGGGGAGTGGTGTGGTCAAGGCTTCAACTTTACTGAAAGCTCCCTCTGTCTCACTAACACCAACTGCGTGAAGGGTGAGGAGGGGTCTCTGACCCCTTGACCGTTTCTCCCGAGAAGAAAGTGTTCATTTCTACCCAGAGCCAAACCACACACCAGCTCCCAGGCTGCTGGCCAGCGGCGGGTCCCCTGGCTCCCGCACTCGGGGCTGGCAAAGGCAGCCAGCGGACCTGGCGTTTTATCCAGGGAACCCACTTACCACAGGTCGGCACTGCCATCCAGGCTGCTAGTGTGGGTGTTAGAGTTGAAGGCCGAGAGACCCCAATCACCCAACACAAACCCAGCTCCCTGCCGCATGTGCTGAGAGAACTTGTAGTCCGATTTGACCAAATTCAGCAGTAACTCCCAGCAAAATGGGAAACCGGGTTCCCAGTGAAGATTTCAAAAAGAGCCAGCCATAGAAATGTGGCTGAATGCCAACGCCATGGCCATACTCCCCAGCTGTTCCCCATGGCCTAAACACCCCTTCCCTACTTGGTGACAGAAAAGGAAATGTGATTTCACCCTGGACACCCCACTTCCAGGAGCCTGTCACCTCCCCCCCACCGCCCCACTCCCAGATCCCAGGTCGACATCAGTGGCATCTTGCTGAATTTTCATGTTTAGACGAAGTTTGACATTTAAGCTTTAACAAGACATTTTCCCAAAGCGCCCCGTCTCCTCCTTCAAGATCCTGACTTGAAAAGTTGGGCATTGATTGTAGGTGTAGAATCCTCGAGAAAGGCGAGTGAGAGGAACGCATGTGGCTATGCAGAAGTGTGTGCCCCACCCCCGCTGCCCCCACACCCCCGTCGCTCACCTGTCTCAATGCCTTTGAGTTAACTTTTTGTGGGTCCTTTTCGTTGGTTGAGTCTCTGTCCAGAAGTCGGAGCTGCAGTACTGTAACTCCTGTAGTGTCCTGGCTTTAATTTCTACCACAGAATATGCTGTATGTGATGTATCAAGCTTTCTGGAATCAGAAAGGAAAGGTGCCTTATATCCCAATGTCATGGCTGCACCCCTATGGAAAATATTCAGAAGCACAGCGCACACATGCTCACAGACGTAGGGCTTTGGGGACCCCCCACCCCGACCCCGCCTGGTGAAAGGGACATCACTGAGCAAGCACACATCCCAGTGGGCCCCCCAACCTTGGGGCTACCTTCCCTTCCCAACCCTTGCTCCCTTCTCCTGCTTTCTTCATCCTTTTTTTTTTTAACTTCTTTTTCTTCCTCTGTGGTTTGCTTTAAACAGAAAAAGCACTTAAGTAGCTGACTACATGGGAAAGCCCTGTGCAATAAGAAGTCATCGCCCTTGGTTTTGTAAGCACTACTGTAGGGTGCACACACCGAACGGAACTCTGGGGAAGCCTGGCCCCGGGTCGCCTTGGGTCATCCACCTGAGGATGTGCTCACTGTAGTTGGGTTTGTGCACGAACCGGGGTGGTGGGGGGAGGTGCAGCAAGGGGGGGACAGCCCCTCCCACACCTCCTTCTCCCCACCAGCCCCCTCGGGTGACCCAGCCCAGTTGGCTGGAACTGCTGGCCTGGGCAGGGTGGGGATTGCGAGCCGCAGGTGTCCAAGGCCACAGCCGTCCCTTGTAGCACTTAGCCTGTGTCTTGTTGAGGCGGACTGATCGATGGCTGCTGCCCCGGGCGCCGTGTGTCTGTGCATGCGTGACGATAGTGAGCAAAGGGGTGTTTCCTTAAAAGGGGGGAGGGGGGAAGAAAAGATGTCTGTCTCTCCTATTTATTATTAGGTTACTGTTATCGTTGTGTTGTCGTTGTTTCATTGTTATAAATGCTTTTTGCTGTCACTCCGAAGTTGACTATCCTCGACCTCCTCCAGGAGTTGCGGGGAGGGGGGAGTTGCCGGGGGTGGTGGGAGCGGAACTGGACCTAGGGGAGTTTCCCCAGCAGAGAGTCGGATACCTGTCTGCAAAGAGGCCGCTCAGAAGCATGGTGGTGGTCTCCGCGTGTCTTTGAGGAAAGGGAATTCACAAACTGAAACCCAGGCTTGGGTGGAGGGATGTGCCGAGCAGGGGAGCAGGTGAGGGAGGGAGGCCGCAGAACAGACAGGAGAATGCAGCTCAGCACCCCACTGCCCGCTGCCCCCCAAACACAAAAAGCCTCCTAGAGCCTCTGAAAAGCATTGTGGGTTCATGAAGTCTGGGCAAGCGCCAGACAGGCAGGCAGGCAGGCAGGGTGTGGTGGTGGCCGTGGCTGCCAAGTGGGGACGCCCACAGCAGGGCACCTTGGAAACCCTGTGCGAGTGGGTTTCTGCAGTTGTTTCCCTCGCAGACCCAGTCGGCCAAAGCCATCAGGCAGAGCAGCTGTTCCTTGGCACGGCCACGGCCACAGCCTGGGAGGTCCCTGGGATGGTGGGGGGGGAGATGGAGCAGTGGATGTGTGGCCCAGTCACCAAAGTGCCCAGTTGCTTGTTCCCCCTACTGGGACGAAAGGCTACCTGGGGCTGTCTGTGTTTCCCTTATGGCCCAGCAGCAGTTAAGCTAACCCCAGGCTGAGGCAAGGCCGAGGGACCACCTCCGGCACCCTTCCTTCCACACCATAAGCTTGCCCTTGCCCTCCTCTGAAATGGGAGGGGGAGGGATGGCGTGGGGGAGGGTCTGATCTTGTTTTCTGAATGTCTCGCCACTGAAATTATGACCTCCACACCCAACACGCCGCCCCCAGATTTTTATTTTCTTTTTCTCGAATCAGTCTATGCATTTCTTCTTTCTCCCTCTGCCTGCCTCCTCCCCCTACCTGCAACTCACCCACCTCCTGCCGTTTTCTGGCTGTCCCTCTAGAGAAAACGGGCTTCTCTTGTCCCCCAACCCAACACCCCCCCCCCAAAAAAAAAGATATTTCCCCGGCCCCAACCCCTTCAGAAAATGCTGTGCATTTTGGAGATGTGAGAATTCCTAAAAGCATTTGAGAATAGCTTGTTATAAAATAAGAGTTTGGGAGTCGGGGGGAGAGGCATAGAGGCCACACACACACACACACACACACACACCCCGCCTCCCTATCCCTCCCCGACCCCCAAGACCTAAAGGCCTGACTCTGCGTCGGTCCGTGCAATAACTACTATTGTGCAAGCAGGGCCAGCGGCCCCCCAGCCCCGCCCAGACTACTAGCTTCACAAGGTGCGCCGGCGACCCCCCACCCCACCTGCCGCCCCCCGCACTTCCTGGTGTCTCTCACGCGAGCAGTATTTTCTATCTCTTGTAACACATGCAGTCTTAGATGTTTTTAGCGCCAGTTTGTTAATATTTACAATCATAGATCTTTTTTTATATAAATATATCTATATCTATTTCTTTACTTCTCACAGAGACCCCCCATTGACCAAAAAAGAAAAGGAAAAAAAAAAAGTGGCCTCTTTTTTTGTTTTTGGGCTTTTTTGTTTTTGGAGGGGTTTTTTTTTTGTTTGTTTGTTTTTTTTTGGTTTTGGTTTTTGTTTTGTACAAATAGCTTTGAGAAGCCTCAGCCATGTGGCCGCAACTAGTCTCTGATAAGATTTGATTTCTTGGTTATTCGTTTTCCACACTCAGAGTCAAGTTGATCTGGCTGGCGTGGGGTTGGGGGAGCACCCGTCAGCGCCTCGGCGTTGTCCCTTCTGTCTTCGGTTAGCCATAAGATGTTTGTTCTCAGCACTGTACAACGGTCCCTATATGACATGGAGAAGCAATATCACTGTATGAGACTCACACCATGTATTATTCTTCACTAGCACCCTAGGTGTGATCATTGAAGTAAATATCTTTTATACAAACACAAGCACGTGTGTGGGTTGTTTGTTTTTTTTTTCCCCCCCCCCCCCCCGCCCCGCCACCCAAGGTAAAGCAGCAAACACTGTCATTTGGGGACCCGGGAGGGGGGCGCGGGGAGCCTGCAACATCTGCTGTTCCCCTGTTCCTGGCTGGCAGGTGGCAGCAGGAAATCTGGGCCATGGGTTGTTCTGTGTCCCCGATGCCCAGGAAGGGCCCTGCAGGCCACGTGCCCCTGCAGCTGAGCCCTTGGTATCCTCTGATCCTCTTCTCCGTGGAACGGGATGCGGGAGGGGCGCGTGACCTGTTGCGGGGGAGGGGTGGGGGGGAACTTGCGTGGAGCGGAGCTGGTGGCTGGCTGGTGACTGGCGGTGCCACCGTGGAATGTGGCAACAGACTGAGGGTAGCTGAGTGGGGATGGAGTGGCCAGGGCCCAGGCCTGTTCTGGAAGGTCGCGCTTTGCCACTGGAGGGTGCCATGAAGGAGAGCCAGTGAATTCTTGGAGGGAGGGAGATTGACACGGCCGGGGTGGGGGGGATGTTACAGCTGGGGGGGAGTTGGTAGAGCTGGCCAAGAGGTTTCAGGGTGTCACTCAGGGTCCTCCCCTGGAGATGTCCTGAATCGGAAGAGACTTGATATGCACTGCGGCGTGTGGTTGTTTGGGGCGGGGATTGTCACTTGTTCATTTGGGGTTTTTTTGTTTTAATATTTATCCTATTTATTTGAAAAGCAGGAATCCAGAGCTTCCATCTGCTGGGTTACTCCCCCCTCAAATGCAGGGAACCAGGAGCCAGAAATTTCCTCCAGGTCTCCCACACAGTGCAGGATCCCGAGCCCTTAGACCACCCTCCAGTGTCTTCATAGGCCATCAGCAGGGATGCTGGAAGTAGAGCAGCCAGGACTCGAACTGGCATCCATATGGGGTGCCAGCACTGCGGGGCAGAAGATTAACGTGCTGAGCCACCCTACAGTCCCAAAATTTGGTTATTGAGATGGCAGAAGGCAGCTCCCTGATGTGATACTGAGCCAGTGGGAGCCCCCACAGCAGGGGTCAGAGACTCCCTTCAGGGCCAGCACGTGGTCCCCCAGCACCAGCCCCCTTGGATAGGAGAGATTTCCATGTAACCCTGAGCACTCTGCCGGAGTAGCAGAGGACACATTCCCTGCAGCTGGGCTTCCCTCCCCTTAACTAGCTTGCTGAGTGCACCCCCACCTTTCTAACACCTGCTGAAATAACAACTCGACTAAAATGTAAAATGTTAGAAGACTAGCATGGTCTTCTTACCCAGAATATTTCCCCACATGCTTTGAAAGTAGAATTTTTAATAAGGGTTTTGTTGTTGTTGTTTTGAGATTTCTTTATTTGAAAGGCAGAGCTGAAAGAGACATCTTCCATCTGCTTGTGAACTCCCCGTGTGGCTCCAAAGGGGTCGAAAGTGATGGCTTAAATCACTACCAGCCACACCAGATCACAGTTCTGTTTTGTTTTGTACTTATTTATTTGCAAGTCAGAGTTACAAAGAGAGAGAGAAGGAGAGAAAGGTCTTTCATCCCACTAGCTCGCTCCCCAGGTAGCCAGCCACAAGAGCTAGGGCAGAGCCAGGCTGTAGCTAGAAGCCTGGCACTCCACCCAGCAGGGGCCCAAGTTCTTGGGTCAATGCCCATGTGAACTAGCAGGGAGCTGGATCGAAAATGGAGCAGCCAGAACTCAAATGGACACCCACGTGGGATGTCAGTGTTGCTGGAGGAAGCTTTGCCTGCTGCGCCACAGCACCAACCCCACAAATTTTATTTATTTGTTTGTTTGTTTGTTTGTTTGTTTTGGTAGTAAGGGCCTCTTGATCCAACACTTTCCTATCAACTCTTTTTGGGCGCCCTCCTAGAGGAAGGGGTCACAGTGAACAGCCAGCCACCCACAGGTGTTTCCCGCCCTCCCATCCTTGACAGGAAGTTCAGGCTGTGGGGGCAGGGGGAGGGAGCGCGCATCACAGAAGAGGTCTCGGGGTTTCCCAGGCAAAGCCCTGTGCGGCCAAGGCAGCAGCCAAGATGCTTCGTTCAGGACCGTGCAAGGCCACGCCATGCAGGCTGAGGAGCTCAGGCTGAGTTCTGCAGGTAGCCCGGGGCCACCTCCACTGGCAGGGGGCCAGTGCCGCGCTGAGACCCTGTTGTCTTCTCTGGCCAGCCCCCAGCTCTCGGGGAGCCTTTACTTCTGCGAGGCAGGCACGGCAGGCAAGGCCGAGGGCCAGCAGGTACACCAGAGGCCGAGCTGGCCCCTGGACCCACACACTACCTCACCGCATGGTTTAAGAACAAGGCTGGGCCCACAGCACAGCCATGCTTGGGGTGAGGGGTCCCAGCAGCGGGGAGAATAGCCCTCTTTCTTGGCTCTTCATTGGTGTGGGTCACGGTCAAGTCCGACAGTCCAATGGGGCCGTGTCACTGGCAAGTCTGAGGTCCTAAGATGCCAGGAAGAGGCCTGGAGGGTCCGAGAGTAGCTTATGTGCCCTGCCAGGCCTCTCCGCCGGGCTGTGCCTGTGACCTGCAGGGGGCGCCCGAGACCACCGTCTTGAGGGACAAGCCAGGTACTTCCTTGAAGGGGATAGACACAGGTTCAAGTTCTAGATCAGGAAGTCAGGGTGAGGCCTGTGTGCCCTCCCTAGAAGCTGACACCTGAACAGGCAGAGCTGAGGGAAGGAGCCAAGCCTATGCAAAGGCCTGGGGCTGTCTGGAAACCTGTACAGCTGTAGGAGGCGTGGAAGTGGAAGCCTGGGGGGGACCAGGGTGTGCCCAAACCTACCCTGCAACCCCTTCCCCAGTATCTGTGGGGGGACGCTGTGGCGACCACACTGCAGGCCTCCCAGGCCCCTACCCTGGGCAGCCCAGCTCCCTCAGGAAGCAATGTCTGCTCAGGGCCTGAGCGCAGGCACAGCACCAGCCAAATGCATGTGCGCGGGCGAATCTCTGGTGCCCAGCCCTGTGGCAGTGGGTACAGGCACCATCCCGTGCTCAGGATGTGCAAGCTGGCAGAGACCTCACCGAGGCGGTAACCATCGCTGGTAGCCAGCATGTCACCAGCATCTGACCCGGCTCCCCCGCGCCTGCCGTGAG